GGGATGTTAAAACCAATTGGGAATCATAAGCACACATGTGCGTAAGTAACTATGGGTTGTAAGTAACTCTGAACACTAAGTAACAATGACCAGTAAGTAACTATGAATATTAAGTAACTATGACCAGTAAGTAACTCTGAACATTAAGTAACTATGATCAGTTAATATCTATGATCAGTAGTTAACTATGACCTGTAAGTAACTCTGATTAGTAAATATCTATGACCAGTAAGTAAGTATGTATGATCAGTTACTAACTTTAAACACTAATAAACAATGACTTGCAACTTTTGCAACACAACACATTTCTGATACTTGGCTGGCAGCAGGCACTTCGTTCCGGGGACGTTAAAACCAATTGGGAATCATAAGCACAGATGTGCGAAATTTGTTTTGGAACAAATTTAAGCTATTTGAATAAAACTATGAAGTAATTCTTCTATATAATTTTACTAGTATATACATCGGAGCATGACGAATCGGTGGACTATATATATACATATATATACATATATATCTGCAATAGGAACGATAGGAAAATTTTAGGAAAAAAATATTATAACTTTTAAAGTTTTCAATGGATTTTCATCATATTTAATATATACATAGCTATTAAATATTAATCTACAATTTTGTGTCAAATTTTATGAAAATCGGACTACTATATCATATAGTATATGGAAAAATGCAAAACGGTGAATGAAATGAAAGCAGCATACTTTATTGTTTTTAAAAATTAATATATATAATTTATATTATATTAATTTCTAGTTATCGAATTTCAATCTACAAGGGTATACAAACTTCGGCGTGCCGAAGATAGCTTCTTTTATTGTTTTCAATCTAAATATATAAATTTTTTGTAAATTGAGTCAAAAGTAATTAAAGGCAACTCTCTTAAATAAAAGTTTACTAAAATCCCTAAACCATATTCTTACAGAACCGAAACCCATTTTTCCCATAGTCTCTTTTCTCCCAGTGTATTCGATCCTTGTGGAAACTTGTCACTAATGTGCTTCTGCTTACAACGCCATTTTATATTTATTTCGTTACAGCGTCTCGGGGCGGCGAAAGGACTCTCGACTCGTCGTCTACTACAACTACTCTCGCTCGCACATATTTGCCGAGTCCTTTTAATCATTTGGCAAACTTTCTCTGACACGCAGGACGAGGGACCGTTAAAGGAGTCAACTACGAGTACATTTTCCGTATGCCAAAAAACTACTCACCAACTCACACGCATATGCCAGCACAAAGTCCTTTTAGTTTTTAATGTAATTTTGAGACTTTTTCAGCTGCTGCTGCTGCTGCTGTGTCACTTTGCTACCAAGGGGAGGGTGGGGGATTTTCCAGGAGCAGGAAAAGATAGTGAACCTTGGGTAGAACTTTCCCCCCTTGGGGCGGGTTGAGATGGCAAAAGTTCCATTTTAAATGATTTGCCAGGACATGAGCATGAGGCAGTAGTGGCTAAAGGCTTTTTGGGCAAAAAGGACATGCACATAAATTATATTCTTTTAATCCAAAAAGTAACTTCAGAAATGTCTTAGCAATGTTTTTAATATATAACTATTGATACAATATATTTATATATTTAAAAATATTTATTATAATCCGAAAACTAACATGTGAAAAGTCTAAGTATTGTTTCAAATATATATTTATATCATTATATATTTAAAGTTATATTATAATTTTTAAGTATCCCTACAACTTACTTGGGCAATATCTTTTCATTTCGTTAATTGATTTTATTCTTGAAGAATTAACTTAACAACCTTTTGAAACCTTTGTAATTATTCTTTATGGAGATTTTGTGATTGATTGAACAATCAATTAATTTGTTAACTGCCCTTAACAACCCTAAACCCCTTTTAATTGTCAATATTCAATGGAAAAGACAGTTGGAGTGAGTCAGAAAAATAGAAAAAGACAACAAAGGGTTGAAATATACCAGAGATAAGCCAAATTCTGAAAATATATTTGTATTTAACATTTACCTTAATACACGATAGTTTTTCTCTGAATTTAAACTTTAAGAAGTCAAACATCCCTTTAAAAATCTTCTAAATGCACATCTCTCTTTAGGCATTTATCCTCAATTTAAAGAAGGACAATTTATATCTGATTGCAGAGTCATAAATGATACAGTCAGTGCCCCAAAACAAGTGGTTCGTAAGCCTTTTGGCTTCAAACAAAAAAAAAAAGAAAAAACCTTAAACGAAACGAATCCAATTGAAAGGAATTGAACTTAACTGAACCACCCGGAGGCCTCATAAATTTCATAGCGAAATTGTTAAATTTTAATAAAATCAAAGCGTATCAAACGCGATTTGTTCACCAGGCGACGACGACGACGACGACGACGAGGACGATTGTATATATTTTTGTACCCGGACACCCCTCTGAAACAATCGTCCTTGCCATCGTTATCCTTGTTCGCAGTCTGGTTATATCGCGTGTTTATTGTTGCAACAGTCGCGCGGGGCTCTTTAAAATAATACAAGGAGGGTTGGATTTTAGCCTTGGATTTTCGGTTTGGGTTTTTTGGGTTAGAACTCACTGGCATTCACAGTCATATTCAAGATAATAGTGTCGTTAAAGGGATAACAATTGCCAGTTAATTTATGTATTTATTAGGATTTAATTATTGTTTAATTATGAGAAAATTTTATTAAAGTAAAAGGAAAAAGAAAATTGTAAGGTTAGGATACAGAAATAGATGATAGACATATAACAAAACAAAATACTACATATCCTTTTTGACTATTGCAATAAAAGAGTTAAGAAAAAAAAATTAATAATAAAAGCGTTTAAAAATACATTCTGAAATAATTTAATTCTATTCTAGTTATTATTGCATTATTGTTAAATATTAAAATACTGTAAATATATTCTTTACCCTTTTGTCACAAGCTGAGCTCCTTTTTTTATATTATTTAAGTTGAAAATAGTATTTTAATTTACTTAGGGGAACATTGACTTGATTTAATATCTTTTCATGTCTCTGGTTCGAGTTTAAGTATTATATTTTATATTTTATAATTTTAGTTCCTTGAAAACCAATACTAGAAATTATTAGAAATTATTACCATAAATAATAACCCAGAAACTGAAACCAGATACATAAAATAAGCGTAGATATTAACCTAGTTATATTCTTTCCACAAATTAATATAAATTTAATAATTAACATTTTATTTGAATTATTTTTTTAAAAACTGAATTTTTTCTTTAAAATATACATTCAAATTAGTTGAATTATTATTATTAAACCCATAAATTAAATAATATAAAAACCAAAGAAATTGAAAAACAATATTCCTCTTACCATTTTAACTACTTGGTACTATTGCCTTGAACTTAGCTGTATTCTTGCTACTATTTACCAACCCCCAGGATGCGCATTTCAGCATCTCTCGCATCCTCGAATCCTCGAAGTCGATGCCGATGCCTGACGCCTTTTTGTGACTCGTTAAAGGATTAAAATCATTTTAATGGATTTTTCAAGCTGTTGTTTTGTTGTATAATTGTCGCCTCTATTGTGCCCCGGCTTCGTTTTCATAAATAGGGCACACACACAGGCACACACAGGGTGGCGATGACAGCAGCACACAGATCCTTCGTCCTGGCATCCTTTGCCAGCCTCATTTGTCATCATCTTTATGCTAATGGCTTGAGGTGTTAATGAAGCAGCCGCGTTGGGCAAAGTTTTGACACTCGAAAAACATGCTGGCATCTCAGCAATGGCAATGGGTTAAAGTTTCAAATTAACCCTCTCCTTTAAAATGTCTTCAAGAAGGTTTGAAGCTACATATTTACTTTATCAAAAATTCCCAAATTCTATTCCTATACTCTCTTAATATTTATACAAATTTACCGCAAACACAATAAAGCTCTTAATCTAGTCTCTTTTTTTGTGTTTTTTAATCAAATTTCAAGTCATCCCATTAAGGACTCAGCCTAGCTCAAAGAAAAAAAAAGAAGAGAAGAGAAAAGCAGCTCGCGGGCATCCTGGGAAATGGTTCTTATCATAATGAGGGCAATATATATATCGGGTTATATTGTAGGCAAAATCCCCTAATTAACCCATTAGCCCCAGCTTCCCGGCTTTTACTGACATTCTCTCTTTATCTTTCGATGGTCCATAGCCGCGGGCATTTCGCCGGGATTTCGTCATCGGTTCGTTTAACCTAAAACCGTCTAAAGGTATATTTATTTACAGCTAATTTCGCGTGCAGCCCCGCGGCCAAAATAGACAGGCAATAAGCTCACCTGGCCCAAAAGTCCACCTTTTAACTCCCAACTCCCATCTACCAACCCATTAAGCCCTCGTGACTGACATTGATACGTGTGGTTCGCTGTCTAACGAGCGACAAGCCCTTGAGGCCATTTCACAAAAGCCGCTTAGTTCCCGGTTTAGCTCCGCTCAGCTCTGGACGCCTCCGCCCCTCATGACTTCGTTTTTACACTTTAAGAAAAATTACCCTTCATTTAGAGGGTTTTCTATACTAAATTTAAATCAATTCAAACGTTATCTAAAGCATAAACTAGCTATGAAGTAAGCTAGTAAGTAACGTGACTAAGAAGCTTAGTTAACATTATAAAATAAATATATTTTTCAGGTATGTAAAATTAGTTTTGAAATATTGTAATATTTTCTTTTAAAACATATACTTATTCCTTACAAATAGGTACTATATTTATCCTCTTAAATCATGTCTTTATTGGTTATAAATAACACCCACTCTTATCACTTATAACTTATACTTTCTAAGCCTAGAAAATGTCTTATTAAATGTACCTTTCTTTGGAGAATTAAAAATCAAAATATTCTATATATAATAAACAATAAATATATATAGAAAATATATATCATATATATATCATATTATTATAAATACTATATCTTTCCTAGGTTAATATTTTCCCCCAGTGTGTATGTGATGTTATCGTTTAAGTCCTGCCCGCCCAGGATCCTTGTGTTCACCTGCTCCGCTTACCTGGCAACTTGAAGGGCAATCCGGCCATAAGTGGATCCGGTCCAAAGCGTTGTGGCCCAAATGCGAACGGATGGAAGCCCTGATGGCGAACCTTCGACCGGGGTTCCCTTGGTCCATCCACGGTCACCTTGATGGCCTTCGTGTATGTCGCAATCTGGATGGGATTCGTTGAGATGACAATCGTAAGAGTAAAGCTCTTGCCTGTAGGAGAGAAAGGTGGGAAATTTATTTTATTATTTTAAGTAACTTTAATAGAATCGAAACCAAAGAAAAAACTAGGAAAAAGAAGGAAAACTAAACAGCATAAGAGAGGAAAATCAATTTAAATTAAATGGAATAAAGTTAGGGCTTAATGTTAGCTCTTTTAACTTGTTAACTGTTTACTAGAAGAAACAACATAATACAAAAATGTATTATATATCAAATAAACTTTTAGAAAAACCTACAAAAATATATATATATATATTCATTTAATAACTTCTAAATCGTTTTCTCAAAATTATTAAAATATACCTCTTACTCCCTCTTCCTCTCTATTTTCCTATTATTAATTGATATAGAATTCTGATGAAAATCTTTTACTGGAAATTTGCACATATTTCCTTGTGGCACCTTTTGTTGATTAACTCAAGCATTTTGGCATTCAAATTGTTTGGCAAATGAATTTTATATTCGCGCGTCTGGGAGTTCCATTTTATGGATATTTCAAATATGCAGCGCAACGTTTACCTTTACGGGGTTGAGTTTTTCATGCTGGCACCGAGGGGTTAAGCGGGGTTAAAGGTTAGGATGGAGGAGGCATAGGGGGATGAGGGGTATGATGGGTATCTGATCTGGAACCCGGACCAGACAACGCCACAATAGTTGCCATGTCAAAGTCGCCGCACGCTACTTAATATTGCATTGGATGCGAAGGAAGTGCATGCAGTTCCGATCCCAATGCCTCCCCATACAAGTCCGGGACACTGACAGAAAAATGCTTAAAAATTTAAAACGTAAATAAAATTAATATATATTAAAAATTATAAATGTAAATTAATAAATATGATATTAGCTTGACCCGACAAATAGCATCCCAATTGTTTCAGCTTTAAGACAATTTACTTAAAAGAATTTGAGCTTGAAATATATTTATCCAGAAGAAAAGCCTGATATGATTATATGGTTAGAAATATCTTATAAAAAATAACGTTTTGTGTATCGGCAATTTATTGCTATTTGTCTTTTGACAAGTTCTTTGAGATGTTTTTTGCAAAGTCGTAACTTTGTTTTTATTTTTATTAAAGTCGACATGACCATATTTAAAGGTGTAATAACAAAATATTGTATTAAAATTATCGTAAAGTGTATAGAAATTTCCAAATAACAAAGGTATCGCATTTAACTTACAAATATCAGTTATGTTTTAAATATCGAATAATGGTTTTGTTTTTTATTTTATTTGTTTAATTTTTACATATTTTAAATATAAAACAATCGTTAATATTACATTTTTATATGTTCATATACATTTATATTATATTCTTTCCAATAATCATAGTTTAATCTTTTCTGGTTTATATTTCGTACATGGAATATTGATAATAGACTATCAAGTGTATGTACTTTATTGTAAGAATTTTTATCATTTAATTTTTAATAATAATATTGTAATATGTTTATTTTATCAACACTATATTTAAGGTGGCATTTTTAAATGGGGTTTTTTTTAGCAATTGTTTCCCTTTATAAGGGAATGCATCTAAAATTCCCAAGTACAACTTTAGCCTCAAAATGCAATAAAGGAATACTTTAAGTTAAAAAAAACCGTAAAAAACCCTTTAAAATAAACAACATTTTTACAAATTAAAGGATTAAAAACCTATTTTCTAATATTTTATTTATTTTAAATATTTGTGTAAAATATATTAATGTTTTGCAGTGTGCAAAAAGCATCCTCCGCTCATTCATTCATTCATGGTTTTCGCCCGCTATATGCATGTCTGCGTTGGTATGCGTTTTTATGAAGCTTTCACAACTCCGTCGGGGGTTAATTTTCGCGAAATACGTTACCGTTTTGCCCACTGCCACTGCCACACCCACTTCTAGTCCTCCCCCCTCCCCGTCCCTAGTCCACCCTCGCCCCGATTCCCGTGCTGATACCAAAAATTCCGCACTTTAATTTCCATGTGCAGAGCATTCGCTCTATTTGCCAAAATCCAAATCGAAATCCAAATGGGCCTTGGTGAACCCAGGGAGGTCGGGGAGGTCATGGCAACCCGTAGAACCCATCCATAGGTTAATAGAAAATCTATAAAATTCGCAGCATTATTTGCAGCTGCTGTGAAATACTGAATTTCTGGAATTATGGGAGGTTGGACGACAACAAATTAACCCAAACAATGGTCTAGTTGGAATTTTTTTTGTTTTGGGTTTAAGCGTGAGTCTTATTTCATTTTGTGTTTTAAATTAATTGAATTTTAATTATTTCTAGATTACTTTTGTAAAAGAAATAATTAATATAAGTTGCAGGAAATATATGTTTTAAAAAGATAAAAGTTTTGAACTTGCAAAATTACTTGCTTTCCTTTACTAAGAAAAAAACCTCTATTTGCAACTACTTTAAACCTCCTACAGGCTGCTCCTTTCCTTTATTTCTAGATATTTTTGTAAAGAAAAATAATTAGAATAAGTTGCAATAAATATATATTTCAATAAGATAAGTAAAAAATCGGTTTCTTTTACCAAGAAAACCTTACTTGCAACTACTTCTAACCTCCTTTAAGCTGCTCCTCAGAGTCTAAAAATAATCCCAAAATTATAAATTAAAATCTCCCAACAAATAATCATAAATAAAACTTATATATTCACTTGTCTCTGCCCTCTTTCATCCTCATAATCCATTTAATTCCAAGTCATTTGCAGCTTTCTGGTCGACACCAAGAAAGTAAGTATAAAGGGCAAGTCGAAACACATTAAAAAAAAAAAAAACAAACAAACTTCTTAGATTAATATTAAATTAAACGAAGCATGCAAAAAACGCAAGAAGGCGGTAATCATTAAGACAAAAGGGCGGCAAACAAGCGACGACGTCTGAATTTTCTCTCTCCCCCATCCCGCTGCCCCTTTCACGCCCAAAATTGTAACGGCTGCAGTGCTGGGGAAAAGTCGCCGGGAAAACCCCAGAAACCTACGCAAGAAAACAAATGAACATAAACAGGCGAAACGAACCAAGAAACCCAACAAAATGAAATGAAACTTTTTTAATTATGCGCCCTCAGTAGCAGCAGCAGCGGCAACAGAGGAGCAACAAGCTGGGAAAGCGGTGGAAATCCTGGAGGGGGTTGAAGGACTCAGGACTCAGGATGCAGGACAGCGAACCAAGGACTCTGGATGGGAAGGAGTAACCATAGAAGGCTCGCAAAGTGGCTAAAGACAAAAGACTTTGGCGTCGTCTATTTTTGTTTTCTATTTTATTTTCTATATTTTTTTTTTTGTCTTTGTGTTTTGCCAAATGAGCAAAAATTGCAAATAAATCTGTAGCTGTAGCTGTAGCCATTTTCCAACCCCCCCGCACACACACATACACACATTTTCCTGGTGTGGGCGTGGCATCAACAACAACGGCGACAAAGAACTTTTGCCTGCTAATAAGATGAAAAACCATTAAAAGTCGACACAAGTCGCGTCCATTGCAAGTGGAAAATTAAGAGAGAGAGAAGGGGGAGAAAAGCCAGCGGGTGGGGGGTGTAAAATAGTGGCCGAGGTTTGGGAGAAAATTCTGTGGAAATGGAGGGGTGTATAGCTCCCGGAGCTAAAATGTTGTCATTTTCGCAACAAAGCAGAAATTATCACCACTTTGCAAAAGGCGACGACAACGACAACGTCGTCGGCAACGGAAAAGGAGTTGGAAAATGCGGAAAAAGGAGGCTGGGAAAATCGGGTAAATAGCAGGAGGTTTTTTTGGTGGCAATATGGACCAAAGTCTGCACCCTTTTTAGCCAGAACCAACAGTGGTAAGTGTATGTGTGTATGGGCCAAGAACAGTGGAGTTGAGAATAAAATAATACATGGAATAAATGGGATATTTATTTATTTGTTGTATTTTTAAGACAGAAAAATCTCAATTTTAGGAAAAATAAATTAATAACAAAGTAATTACTTTACTTTCATGAATTTATTATGAATCATACTACTAATAATACCATAGGATATCAGCAGAACTATTATTATAAGGATAATTTAGAAGTCTTTTATTAATTTATAATATTCAAGAAGACTGAATTGACGAGGAATTATTTGAAGGTATTATCTGTTAAATATTTATTTTTATTTACTATATTGTATCAAGAATTTAAATTGCTTTATTCCTTATTTTTAAATAGACTTATTACTATTTCTTTTTCATATCTTACAAGACGCTTCTGTGAAAGTTAGAAGAAGAATTTATTAAAGGTGAGAACTTGAATTATTTGAAAGCATTTTCTTTACAATATTTATTTACAATAATATTATATTCTATAAAGAATTTAATAGACTTTATTCTTCATTTTTAAACTACTAAATTACTATTTAAATTTCATATCTTTGAAGACGTTTCAATGAAGGTTAGGAAAAGTATTTATTAAGGTACAGATACTTTCAAAAATTCATTTAAAATTCTAAAATCTTTCGTTAACCCCACTGTACCTAATTTTTATTCAAGTGTATAAGTGTATGTGTGTGTGTACCGGGCGCTAAGTGATTTTAAAACAAAGTTTTTGAAACGTTTAACCTTACACAACAAAAATGTTTCATTTGCCATTGGAGGAGTGAGCTTTGAAGGAGTCTGCAAAGGCAAGCCTTTGCCTGCATTTTAACTTTCGATGCTGATAATGAAGGCAGGACCCACCCTACACACCCTTCCCCCAACCCCTAGACCCTCCGCCCCCCAAAAGGAGGGTGGCAAGTGGGCGGCAAGGACAGCCAAAGGACACAACAAGGGTTCGTATGCTTAGGCAATTTAATGGCTGCTCCTGCCTGATGCCGGAGCTGTGTTAATGTCGTTAGTAGCATGGCGCCATAATTATAATTTGACATAAGACAAGAAGTCTGAGGTTGACAACAAAATGACATTTTAAATACAGGCAGGCAGGCACAGGATGCGAAACAACCCTCGGGGGGCTCCTGGCTACTGGCAGGACTTTGTATTTAGACACTTAACAGATCATAATTTCAACACT